ATATGACTACTTTTTCTTCATAAAATCACTTTGAAGCAAAAATCTGCAGAAATCTCATTTTTTAAAATAGCTTCTTTGGATACCATCATCAAGCCTTGTCCTGAATAAGCTCTGGATAGGCTCTTGATCGTAGCCTCCAACAGCAAGGAGGCATTTCATATAGTGATGCTAGAAATAAAAAGTCTGCCTTAGCAGCAAATTATACTTGCTTATTTAAAAGTAAGTACTGTTGGCCTCAGGGAAACCTCTCTCAAGTAGACATGCATAGGCTTACATTGTTATAGACTACTGATCCTGCAACACAGTATACCTAGGATACTATGCAATGGTTTTATTTATATTAATTAAAACATGTATTGTGCTAGCATAAAACAAAACAAAAAATAATTGCAATATTAGCTATTTTGGGGAAAAATTGGAAAAAAAGTCTTTAAATAATGGGAAACAAATAAATGTAGTAAGAACAGGCCAAGGTCAGATAGATAGATAGATAGATAGATAGATAGATAGATAGATAGATAGATAGATAGATAGATAGATAGATAGATAGAAGATTGGAGAACTCCTGATGCCTCTATAAACAAAACCATTGTTCCTTCTTATGAAATAAATCATTCTTCTCTCCAAAAAGAGATCAAATCCATAATGCCATTGAGAAAAAACACTGTCTCATGTAAACCACTTAACAATGTGCCTTAAATAACGAGAGAAAAAGCAGATTTGTAGGATGTTATGGCTCTGGCCCCACCTATCAGTGGCTATGGTTCCCAGGGAATGTGGCCCTTGACAGGAGTCCCATCTCTAAAAGTAATTATCAGCTGTTTGAATTGAATCCAGGAAAAAAAAAAGGATGCCAATGCATTAGATAGCAGGGACCAGGGATGGGGAATCTGGTGCTTTCCAATGTTTTGGACTATGGCACTCACAATTCTTTGCCACTGGCCATACTCTTGGGTGTGATAAGAGCTGAAGCCCAAATTTTATGGAAGGCACTAACTTACCTCTTCTCAGACTTCCTTTTGCCCAGTCCAGTTGTTTGGGTGGTCACACTTTCTACTCCACATGGAATATACTACATTAATCAAAACTGGATATGACAAGTCCATCTTAATGTTTACATTTGTTCTTCCTAGCATTTAATACTTGTGTTAACAATGAGTATTCCTAAGATAATGATAAGTGACATAGTTTGTTCCATCTTCTAAATTACAGAGTGAATCACGAGTCCCATTCTCTCCTCCACTGTATCTTGTGTGGAGAGCACACATAACTTTTGCATAAGCTTAAAATAGGCTTAACAGAGTTTTAAAAAAGAAAGACACCCATCACCATCCCCTCAAATAGAAAACTTTCCCAGCCATGTCCAACCCACTTTGTATCATCATCATGCCACTGCATCCCTTGAATCTCCCCAAAATGATGAAATGAAGCTTGCCCATGTTTGCCTTGAACACTGGCTTCTAAAAGAAGAGCAAGAGAGGTCCCCAGAGCAACAACTCTAAACTTGGAAAATATCACTAGAGCATGTGGCTTACCATTATAATAGGTTTTCCCAATCAGTCACTGGGAAAGTCAGTTATGTCATCATCCAATCATCCCATAAGCTATAGGTTTATTTATTTAAACATGGTTTACTGAAAAACCATAGGTAGCTAAGCTTACATAATGCATTAAGCCATAAATCATCATTTCCCAGGCCTATTGTCCAGTTCATATAACCTGCTAAGCCGCAGCTGAATAAATCACATTGTGGCTTAGCATGTAGTATGAACCACACCAATTTGAAACTTAGGAATCTGACAAATTGGAGGCCATACTGGAAAGCACCACAAGAGTGCCCATAATGTACCATTTATAATCAGTTTTAATCCTATGTGTTCCTCTAACTTAGCTTTAAATTCTAGATAAAATATGTGAAAATGGTTTTCAAATGAAATCTTTGCCAAGAATTTCGGCAGACTAGAACACCTTCTTTTTCTTCCTTTAGAAATCAGCCACAGTTGTGTGTTTGGTGTGCTTCTTTATTTCTGATGTGCCTTTGTGATCAAAATGTATGTTGTTGTGTTTTGTTTTGTTTTTAATGGCTTCTCCTTAGGATGCAATGGAGCAGAAGGGTAATCTTCATATTTTAAAATTTCAATTATTCTAGCCAGTGGAGCAAACTTGCATTTGCTAGTATTGCATGTTGGAATGTTATCTTATATGGTTGAAAATGCATGAATTTTGGGTATATATTGGATAGATTTGGCAAGTTTCTTGCCAAACTTATTATTATTGAATTATTGAAATTATGGAGATTAGTTGGTGTCCTGTAAATTACATAGTTCTATTAATTACTCAAGAGTCAAGTTAAGTTCAAAACTGAGCTAAGCTGTCACAGAAACCCAGAGTGCACTAAATCTATAAGACAACTAATAGTACATATATTCTGGACTGATTAAAAAGAGCTAGTCCATAGAATTGGACTCTGTTGTCTATATTCTGCAGCTGAGCTGATTTGGGTCTGGCTCAGCTGGAAAGTGATCCAGAGGGAAGGTCTGTTTTCCCACAGGTGGCAGTTCTTGCCTCCTCCCTGCTCCTTCCCTGCTCCTGGGCTTCGTCAGACAGAGCATTCGGCTGAGAGAGAGATAAAAGAGGAAGCGTGTCGAAGGCGGAAGATTGACTGAAGATTCCCCTTCAAAGATTTTTTTAAAAAACATATGCTCATACCACTCTATTGGCATGACTTTAAAATGGAGCTAGGATTGAACCAGGCTGTTTTCACAGTTGCTGTTCCCATAAACTCACAGTCCATGAGAAAGGCAAGGGGAGGGTGACCTGACAAGAGTCACTCCACTGTTTAGCACTGCACCACCTTGCATCTAAATGGCGAGGCTGCCTCGAGGTGTCTTTTCCCCCTAGCAACCACCCAATGGATAAGGGGAGTGATGGGCAGGTGAGAGGATTGCTATTGTTCCAAGACACTCACTCTCTTTCTCTCTCACTCGTCCCACAGGCTGCCAATATTCAAAATACTCTTCCCGATGCCTTTCTGTAGGCGTCGCTTAATGTGTATCTCCCCCACTCTATCCAGTGCAGCAAGATGCAACCATGGTTACAGCTACTGGAAAAGGCTCCTAGTTGTAAAATTGCTAACATGTTATTGTTTCACTATCACAGCCAGAAAGAAGTTTTTTAATGCAATGGCCAAATGATAGCTTGGTAGTTTCTGCAACTGCTCTGCTTTGTTTTTAAATTTGTGCAAATGGCCATGCAAATGCACCCAGGATGTTTTAGAAATCTGGATAGAGAGGGAACACTGGCAATTTATTTAATGTCCTTTTGGCATGAAATGGGAGAGGGAGGAAGGGGCTTTTGCTGCTCCAGAGCTTGCAGTAATTTGGGGTAGCACACTTTAATTTTTTTTTCTTTTGCATTCTTCTATTTGTTTGGATTTGTTTCAGTGTATCCTGCCCGATTTCTTGGCTTCAGATTGCTTTGTGTGGGATTGAGGAGCAGAAACAGTGTGATGTGCAAGTGTCTTTTGTGAAAGCAGTTGCGGGAATATTTTTAATCTCCTCTTAACTTCTGAAAGAAAAGTAATACAAGTATCAACATATGAACAAGGGAAACATTTTGGCTCTGGTCCACTGCTTCCAGCTAGTACTAAGCCAAGCATGAATGCCAGTGCCAGCCAGACAAATGTTAAATTGGTTTCTGTATGATCAAATAGCAAGGAAAAGAAGTATTACTTAAAACTACATGTATTACTTATCTGTTGGCATGGTAAAGCATCTAGGGAGGAGATGAGCAGTATATATGACTGTCAAACCACAAGTCTTCGGTATTGCATAAAATTATGGATTGTTCCCCCCCGCCAATGTTTGACCATTTAGAAATATTACTCTGATATCAGAAGCATGAATTTTAAAAGAATCCAAATGTCAAGTCTCACCAGAGGCCAGCTCCGTCTTTAAGCACTGAATGTTTTTCTGCTAAAAAAGAATAAGAAACGTTACCTGAAAAAATGAAATAAGGAAAACATGTAAAGATTTTCCCTTTTGCTTTCATGTATTTCATATGTTCATAGCTCTCTGGTTATAGAGGATTACAGGATTCAAAATATAATTAGCCTCTCATTATTTATTTAATGAATAAATTATTTATTTATTTGCTTGAAAGCAGATGGAATAACAAATACAATATTCAAAGGAATATTGCAGGATAAATATTAAAATAATAATCAGAGTAAAAAAAAATCACAGTAAAAAATCCTCAGTAACTAAAATCTGCAATTATTTATTTGTGTTAATTTTGTAAACTGCCATATTCCCTAAGGAATACTGCTATTTAAAGTCAAAAAGACATTAAGAATATAAAAATATATAAAACAATAGAAGTCTCTGGAATATTAAACTGCACAGAACAGGACGGTTACTCTAGTTACTCCAGAAAAGCTACATTTTGACCAATTTGCGGAATGTGAATTGGATGGTTGCCAACCTAACTTCAGGAGAGAGGCTGTTGCGCAAAGTAGGCCCCAGCTCCCCTTCACTCACCAAAGTGGGAAATCATTAGCTAGTTCTTATGGGACACACAGATATGATGGCTTGATTCTAGCTGGAAAAGGCAAGTGAGATTCTAGAAGGTTCACCCTTTTTTTCACTTTCTTTCTGTTCAATTCTCTTCCTTCTTGTTACTTCTCTTCTTTAATCATGTTCATACTACAAGTATATATTTATACTGTATAAATATTGAAGTGTCACCCAATAACTGAATAAATACCTCACATAAAAACCTACATTGCCCCATTCAGTTTTTAAGTTCCAGTAGTTACTGGTTGTCTGAATCTCAATGTGTATTATTCTCTCTAGGGGAATCTCAATGTGTATTATTTGTGAAAAAGAATTGTACATTCTTTTTTAGCCACATTGATAGTTTTTTGTTTTTTTGGTTTCTTATATTCTTAGTTTTTAAAGTTTGTATTCATATGTTTTGTTTCTCTTCTGTCGTTTTATTAAGCAATCCATTTTTTAATCATCTTTTTTGTAGCAATGATTAAAAAAAAGTCATTCTTCCGTTCATTGAAAGATAAGCAGCAGTGGTTTCCTTCGACCAAGGAAAAGGTTTCAGAGTCACATTGCTTTTCTATCTGCTAGTAAGCAGAACAGAATGTACAGTGCCATTTGATTTAATATTATTTCTTTGTGTCGGTTTTGAATGTAGTGCTGCCAAGCGGTTTGCTACTCTGTTTGTGAATGTTGATGTTACCTCTGAGCCACATGAGGTTTCTGCTCTCTGGTTCCTGTGGTATGTTAAACAGTGTGGAGGTACAGCCAGGATATTTTCAACAACCAATGGAGGCCAGGTAGAGTATACTGTTAATTTCTTTGCACGCCTATACATTGGACCCTCACGGCAATGATGCTGTCATTTCTCAATCTGTGCAAATGCTGCACAAAAGTCCTCTCATGGAGCCCCATATAGTAATTCAATGAGTTTCTGTTCTTTCAAAAATTAAATGATTTGCTGAAGCCTGGGGAGTAATTGAAAAGTGGTAGTTTATTGATGGAGCATACACTTCGCATGCTAAAGATGTGTAGTTCAATTCTTGATGTTTCCTGACAGCTGGGGAAACCTCTTTGTTTAAAAGCTTTTCTCTGGGCTTGCAGATGATGGCTGTACAATGGATTTGCTTTTTGTATGTGTGAATGTGCCTTTTAGTCAGTCTGGACCCTTGGTGACTGCCTGGACAAGTTTTCTTGGTAACATTTTCAGAAATGGTTTGTCACTGCCTTTCCTTAGGGCTGAGAGAGACCGACTGGGCCAAGGTCACCCAGCTAGTTTTGTGCCTAAGGTAGAACTAGAACTCACAGTTTCCTGTTTCTAGCCTGGTGCCTTAACCAGTACATGAAACTAGCAAAAAACACAAAATGTCCTTCCCTGAAGGACCGAGGAAACTGTCCTCTGGAAGACTTTCTTGTTGTCTCTGCATGCATGTACATGTAGCACCACTTTACTTTGCCATACATACCGAAACAGATGAGGAAAGACTTCAAAGTAGTTTTCTTTTAGACGATCCTCAATCCTTTGAGGTTGAGTGCTTCCTCAACCTTTGAGGTTGAGTGCTTAATTCATGCCAATATACTTTCCAAAATGTTCCTTTGAATGGTTTGCACAACTCCCTTGCTTACCTTCATTGTGCCTATAGTAATCCGATAAGAGGGAAAAAAGATCTAGATATCATAAGCACATTGATGATGCCTCATTGCATGTTCTGTAATGGCTTTTATCCTTGTTGCTTAAAGAAAGTGGGGGGATAAGAGATCTTTGGAGGATCCCACAAGTCAAATGCCAGGAGGTATCACAGACCCACCTCCATAAAAATACTGCTTTTTGAAAAAGATCATAAAAGTATTAGTGGAACATCTTATTGCCTCCATGGATTGTTCATTCATTCACATATAGGAAGCATGTGAAACTATCCATTTTATTTTTTTCATTTATATTTTCTTCTATTCTCTACCCAGGAGAGGAAGTTCATTGGAGGCTCTGGACAAATTAGTGAGAAAATTATGGAATATCTGGGAAATCGGGTTAAATTAGAAAAGCCTGTAACCTATATTGATCAGACTGGTGGAAGTGTCATAGTAGAAACATTGGACCATGAAAGATATGAGGTAATTTAAATATTTGAATTCTAACATCTGCATGTTTCTCTTTGGTCTTATGAGGAGAAGAGGAAATGAAAGAGAGAAATACATTATGTAAAATCAAAGCTATTAATGGTATTTGGGTACATTCGGATCCCAAAATTTGTTACTATAAATAGAAACAGCCTGAGCCTTGGGCCAGTACTCTCCCAATGGGAGAACGTAAAAGCTTTTGCTTCTTATTTGTAATGAACTCCAGTTTTGTTTGCACCATCCAAACTACAGCTTTAGAAATCATAGTTCCACACAAGAACACTTCTAAGCAAGGTGGAGTTGTGGTTTGAGACATTTGTGGGCAAAGCATTAATTTGTATAAACCATGGTTTATCAGTCTTGGGAAAATGGCAAATATATTACTGACACTGAGGAAGGTATGCTTCTGAACTCTCACACAAAAGAAGTTTGGGTGTCATATCAAAGTGCAGTCATAGATATAGGAATGAATTTGTGATACATATTATTGTGTTGATTTGATTGCTGCAATCCTAAACATGCTTATCTGAAAATCTTTTGATACACTTTGTAAAATTTACTTTTGAGCCAAGACATCCCCAGATATATAAATGTGGCATAATTTCAAATCTTATATTCACATATTAGAACTAAAAATGGTACAGGTTATTAGAAATGGTTTTTAAAAATCAGTTTGTTCACATTGACTTATTAATCCTGCCTTAATGTACATAAAATATTGTGCAGATTGTTTACAAATAAGTAAAATAAACATTACTTTTGAATGTTTTTTTCTTCCCCACACTGCACTGCACAATTGCCAATTCTAAACAAGGTATTTTAGATGCACTTCTAAATCCTGCGTTCGGCAGGTTTCCGTAAAACTGATAAAGGCAACCACATGTCTGTGAGTATGAATGGATTCCAAGGGAAGTAAAAAAGCCATGTGCCTTTTCCAGCACAATATACTGGATGTGTCTTCTGTGTCTTTGTGTGTTTTGTCATTGATAATTAATTGTTTTTTAACTGTACGTGAGTCACCCAGAGTTGCTATTTGTGAACTGGGCAGCCATATCAAGCAATCAGATCAAGACAAGACAAAATCTTGTTAACAAGCCAGAGATTCCAATTCAACCAAGCCAAAAGGAAATGTGTATTATTTTTGAGGGTCAGTTTTCTTGTAATAACTGGGAGTTTCATGCCACACAAGTGTATTATTGTATTATGTAACAACAGACTTAATTTTGTTTGCATTTCTTTTCAAGGCCAAGTATGTTATTAGTGCCATCCCTCCTGTGCTTAGCTTGAAGATTCATTTTAACCCACCTTTGCCTTCAATGAGGAATCAGTTGATTAATCGGATTCCTATGGGGTCAGTCATCAAATGTATAGTATACTACAAGGATGCATTCTGGAAGAAAAAAGGTATTTCATGTTAATTGAAGGGGCAGAGCAAAGGATCAAACAGGGATAATGTGTTTCAGCTTAGGTGTCCTGCAATGTACTGTTGTTTTGCTCTTACACTTCTTAACTTTAGCAAGTTCTTGGAAGAAATAGCAAACATTTTGCCATCAAAAGTGGGTTCTAATAATTAACTATATGATATTTAAAAACAAGCAAGGAACAGGAAAACAGGAAAACAGACCACGTATATTGAAATCAACTTAAAACCAGAGTCAGCAAGATAAAATACTAATTAAAACATTATACACACACCCACACACACTGCATGTATGTATGTATGTATGTATGTGTGTGTGTGTGTATGTATGTATGTATATATATATATATATATATATATGTATATGTATATGTATATGTATGTATGTATGTATGTGTGATTGTGTGTGTGTGTGTTTTAACTGTGTGTGTGTGTGTGTATTTTATCTTGCTGACTCTGGTTTTAAATTGTTTTCCTGTTCCTTGCTTGTTTTTAAATGTCATTTTTTTTCTTTTTCACTTTCAGTTATGTCAAGCAGACCCTTGGGATGGATGGTTGTTTTAGAGATGGTGTTATGTCCCTTATCTCTGACAATGCAATGTGGTGCATTGTAGAGAGCAAGATTTTATTCATAAATCTGATGATATTCTTTATGCCTGCCATTTAACAGGGAAACAAGAATCTGGCATGCATTCAGATGATATCTATAGACCTAAAACAAACAAACAAATAAACATCCTGGTAGCTCATAAAGTTATATAATATGTTATATAATAAATGTGATGCTCAGAAAATCCTGAAGATTAAATATAATACAGTGGTGATGGTGGTTCTGAAGGCATTCTTGTAATCCTATAGTGTTCTCAGCACTGCACAGTTGTGAGCCCAAACCATTATATCCCTTATATGATGCTGAGCTCAACTCACAGTATCCACATAGTGAATAGATTTTAGGATGATGGAAAACAGCTCTTTCTGGGATCATACCAACAGATAGCTCCTCCTGACTATTCTAAGAGTTCATGAGTGCTATTACAGTACATATGTTTCATTGCAAAACAGTTACATATATGCTAATTGATACTTATTGTCATAATGACCATAGTAAAAAAACACTCAGCAGCTTTTGTTAGAGGAGTATCATATTCACAAAACCTACTAGAACTGCTGATATCTAGATTCACCTTGCAACTTTTCTCAGATTATTGCGGTTCCATGATTATTGAAGATGAGGATGCACCAATTGGTCTGGCATTAGATGACACTAAACCCGATGGAAGCTTTCCAGCCATAATTGGGTAAGAATTGCTTCGAAGCTACCAGAGATGAAGGGTCAAAAGCAGGGTCTGAAAGGGAATTAACTGTGTCTTGAGTTACAGATGAATTGTACACTTGAAGCATGAGTATTCGTGGAAAATATATACTGTATATACAATAGGATATGAAAAATTGTCTATGAGGAACAATCATCGTAGATTTTAAATATTGATGATTATTTTGTCATGGTCTAATATGTTACCTTCTGTCTGTTTAGTTTAACTGTGTCTTGAGTTACAGATGAATTGTACACTTGAAGCATGAGTATTCGTGGAAAATATATACTGTATATACAATAGGATATGAAAAATTGTCTCTGAGGAAGAATCCTCGTAGATTTTAAATATGGATGATTATTTTGTCTTGGTCTAATGTTTTACTTTCTGTCTGTTTAGTTTACTTGTATATTTTTTAATATGTTACACAGAAATACTGAAACAGAAAGCATACATTAGTTTAATTAAACCTACTGAAAGCTGTCTTGCAGTTTCTCAGAATTTTTAATGCACTGTGAAAGTGGCTTCAGTTTTTCTTCCTTATTTTCAGATTGTTTGAGAATTTCTAATATGCTGGTGTTTTTAAGTTTATTGTTATATATAGCAAAAAATGATGCTACTATTTTCTGCTACTCATTTTTCTATTACTCTGAGGTTTTCCTAAAAGTCCATACTTCTCTTGGAATTTAATCGAAGGGTAGAAATCAATCAATCAGTCAAATGCGGTATAATAAAGGACAGGATATTCACATCCATTAATTAAAGAAGTGGAAAAACACCATACCCACGCACATTTTACTGAAATCTTATTCTCTTTTGAAAGCAAATTATTTTTCATCAAAATGAGTAGAAAAATGCAGGATGTTTCTACACAGCACTAAATAACTCATAAAAGAGAAAATCCTTTTTCTTTTTTTCTGTCAGCTGGGCAGCTATAATAAATAATAAAATAAGTCATAAGAATCTGGCTAGATCATATTAAGTGCAGCATTTTGTTCCTGCAATCACCAACTAGATGCCATAAGTGGGTTACAAATATCATAACAGCCTCACACTTGTTTTCTGTAGCAACTGTATTATAGTGCCTCTGTGTGCGTTTTATGATTTTCTCCCCTAATTGAGAAAAATGTATAAACTTCCCTCTCTATAACAATTTGGAAGTATTGACTGAAAATCCAGTACTGCTTCATACTTTGAAATATGGAAATATACCATTAATCAGAGTCTGAAAGTTTTGGAAATGTGTTTTAGGACAATCATATTAAAATCTAACTGACTAAATGATAAGAGGAGTAAGATTTATTTCTTCCACTTTGTTATTTTAAATTTCAGTTTCATCCTTGCCCGGAAATGTAGAAGACTGATTAATCTCACCAAGGAAGAAAGGTATGAGCAATAACTCTCCATGGGTTTTATTTCCAGAAGCCATAAGATGCGGGGGGGGGGGGGGGGGGGCTCCCCACCC